TGAGACAAAGCCTCACCATCCTCCCTTCTAACAAGCATTCCCGCTGTGCTTCTTCCAGAATATAGATATTTGTTCTTCAGGCGATCCACCGGTAGTTCAATCTTCTTTACCAACACAAGAATGCAAAGGCATCAGTTCTTCCATGTCATTAGTCATTATCCAGGTCTCCCCTGCCTATGGGTGATTGGTCAGGCGATCTTAGTCATCAAAGTGCCATCTTCGCTCTTGCATACTTTGAAGAATGTTCAAGATTGTGCAGCAGGTTTGCCCAGCGCATTGCGTCATTTGATTTCTTGCCTGCTGCTTCCTTGGGTGTTGACTGTGGATTCAAGAGATGAATGAAATCCTTGACAGCCATTCCCTGTTTGTCACGATGTTGCTCGCTGGCCCAGTTGTGGGGATAGTTTCCTCCTTCGTATCCAGGTGTAATCCAGACTGAAGGCCACAGGTAGTCTTTGACTAAATGCTGCCAGCTTTCTTCACTTCTCTTTCAGCAAGCAAAGGTGTGCCATCTGCACACTGCGGGTTGTTAATGCGTCTTTCTCCAATCCTGCTGTTGTTTGCTGCTTCATACAGGCCAGCTTCTCGAATTATTTGCTCACCATATGGTTGAACAAATATGGTAAAAAGACCCTGACAGATCCTGTTTCTGATTTGAAGCCAGGCAGAATCTCCTTGTTTTGTCTGAAGGATGACCTCTCTGTCTATGGACCATTTCTCATGAGCACAACGACGTGTTCTAGAATTCCTATTCTGCACAATAGTATTCCAGTTTTGTTAGGAAACACAGTCAAACGCCTTTGCATGGTCAGAGAACTACAAGTAAACATCTTTCTGGTAGTCTCTGATTTCAGTCAAGATCTGGCCGACATCAGCTATAATAGCCTTCATTCCAAGTTCTCTTCTGAGTCCGGTGTGAATTTCTGGCTGATGCCTGTTGATGTACTGCAGCAACTGATTTTGAATTACCTTCAGCAAAATCCTATTTGCATATGATATTAATGATATTGTTTGATAATTTCTGAAATGTGTTGGATTTTTTTTAATGGGCACAAATATGAATCTTTTCTCACCTGTGGCTGTCTTCCAAATTTCTTGGCCTAGATCACTTGGTACTTCCCTCATTGTGTCAGTTTGTTCAAATAGTTCACCTGGTGTTCCATCAAACCTTGGAGACTTGTTTTGAGCTGATGCCTGCAGTGCTGCTTGAACTTCCTTCAATATCATCCGTCCTTTTGATGCTTCTTGCATCATCCAGTATTTTGTCCAAAGAGTCTTTCAATATCACAAACTGAGGTTTAAGTTCTTACCTTCAGTTCTTTCAGCTTGCCACCAACTTTGTAAATTACTCCTAGACCACATGAGCAGATTATAAAAGCTTAAATACCTCAATACCGGAGCCTCACGTCGGGAAGGTCAACCAGGCTAAGTGGGATTGGATGTTCTATTTTGACTTACTCCATAGACGTATTCCCCAGATATGGTATGTCTCCCACATAGACTGTGGGGGATATAAACGTAATAAATCTTGTGAACTATTGTTTCAGAAGAACCAAGTATTTAATGTCCTAGATTTCACACTGCAGAACCAAAATTCAAATCTCAACTACTACTTCTTTAACTGTATGGCGTTGCTGGAAAGTCCTTTACTTTCTGGGCTTCGGTTTCCACATCTGGACAGGGAGGCAATTAATAGCACTGACCTCATGGGGCTGTTGTGAGGCTTCCACTGGGTAATGTACACACAGAGCTTAGCAGTCTGTCTGTACCTGCTAAGCCTCACTTGCTATCAGCTGCTATTCTTAATTACTTCCAGAGAAGGCTTTTCTGTTTTCTCAACAGGAGGGGCCTTTAGTTTGTACTCAAAAATCTTGATTATTTGGGAGGAGTGTGAATTTAGGACCAAAAATAAAATAAAATAAAAACTACATCCATGACAAAAAGTTAACGAAATCCATTGCCATCCGTTCAATTGTGACTTATAGCAACTCTATCTGTGTCAAAGTAGAACTGCCCCCAAAGGTTGTAATTTTTACAGAAGCCAATTGCCACATCTTTTTGTCGTGGAGACAGTTTGAACTGGCGACCTTTTAGTTAGCAGCCAAGTGCTGTAACCACCACACCGCCCGGGGCTCTTTTGAACTTTGATATTAGGACATATTTAACTTCAGGGCTGGGGTGGCCAGTGGTGTTTGCCATGTGAAGGCATATCTGCCTCGTGTGAATCGGCCAGGCTGCTCAAAGATGTCTATATCTGTGTGTAATTCATGGCAGGCCCCCAAGGGCCAGTCTCACCTGACAGGTGTGCAATGTTCAGAGGATCCAGGGAAAACCAACAGACGGGAGTTGGTCTGGTGAGGTGGTCCTTTGGTAGCTTCTGAACGCAGCAATTCAAAGTTACAGTGTGATCACAATATAATTATGGTGGTTGTTTTGAGCCATTAAGTATGGTTCCACGCATAGCAATGGAGAACTGGAATAGGTGGTTGATGGGGATTCTGTTCAGAGGCCACTGCTCATTGGTACGTTTCTCAGACTCTGGTGGCTTGTACGTAGCTCTGATGCTGGAAGCTCTGCCCAGATGGACGTTGAAAGGGACTCCGAGGCAGTGTGCAGAGATTTCTACATAGACCAGGAAACAGTTTTTTCTAACAATAGAGGAGACAGCCTGGTTTAAGTTTAAGAAAGGTATGGGTTAAGGTTATAACTTTTTGCCATACTTGTTCTATCTGTTTGGTGAGCAAATAATTTGAAAAGCTGACATCAGGACTGAAGAAAGATGCATTAACAGCTTGCAATATGCAGATGACCCAACTTCGTTTGCTAAAGAAGATAAAAAATGGTGGTCTTCAATAGGAATTACACCTGGACATGAAGAAAACAAAAATGCTCACCATTGGACCAATAAGTAGCATCACGATAAAGAGGGACATGGTGAAGTTGTCAAGGGTTTCATGTTACTTGGATCCACCATCAAGGCTGATGGCAGCAGCAGTCCAGGTATCGAACCATGGACTGCAATGGATGCATTAGGCAAATCTGCTTCAAAAGACTTCTTGACGGGGTTGAAAGAAAGGGGTCACCTTGAGGACTAAGGTGTACCTGACTCCAAAGCGTGTTTTCAATTGTTTCGTTTACATGTGAAACCTGGACGGTGAATAAGAAGATGGAAGAAGAATCCACGCATTTGAATGATGGTGCTGGCACAGCAGATTGACGGATCTGCCTTGGAAGAGGTAGAAGCAGAATGCTCCTTAGGAGTGAGGAGGACAAGACTTTGCCTCACTGCCTTTGAAAATATTATCAGGAGAGACTAGTCTCTGAGAAAGACATCGTGCTGGGTAGAGGGCTGTTGAAAAAGAGGAAAATCCCCAAAGATGACCAGAAGCTAGTGTGGGGCCTGTGGGTGCCTGGGAATGTGGCAGAATGTCTCCCAAACCTGTGTGCTTGGTCTTGCTAGTCGGTCAAGGAGAAAGTGACCGAAAGGGAAGAGAAGGAGGAGAAAGGGAAAGTGGCAGAGAGAGAGTTTTCTAAATCTGACACGTCTCTTTGCTTCCATCTACTCCAAGCAAAAAACACTACCTTCCACTATTAGGTGTGCTGCTGTGTGTTTATTGGGATTTGCAAACTATTTGGCGTTGAAATAGAGTATTGGAAAAATGAGGCCCACTTGACTCACAATCACACCCACAAGTACACAGGCATAAAGTAAGAGGTGTCCCCAGCTATCAAAAAGTATAACATCTGTGGTCTTAAAGGCTTGAAGGTAAACAAGCAGCCATCTAGCTCGGAAGCAACAAAGCCCACATAGAAGAAGCACACCAGCCTGGGTGACCACGAGGTGTCAAAGGGATGAGGTATCAGGCATCAGAGAACAAAAAAATCATATCATTGTGAATAAGGGGGAGTGTGGAGTGGGGACCCAAAGCCCAAGTGTAGGCAACTGGACATCCCCTTACGGAAGGGTCAGGGGAGGAGACAACCAGTCAGGGTGCAGTATAGCAATGATGAAACATACAACTTTCTTGTAGTTCCTAAATGCTTCCTCCCCACCCACAATCATGATGCCAATTCTACCTTACAAATCTGGCTAGACCAGAGGATGTACACTGGTACAGATAGGAACTGGAAACACAGGGAATCCAGGACAGATGATCCCTTCAGGACCAGTGGTGAGAGTGGCGATATCGGGAGGGTGAGGAAGAGAGGGAGAACCAATTATAAGGATCTACATATAACCTCCTCCCTGGGGGATGGACAACAGAAAAATGGGTGAAGGGAGACGTCGGACAGTGTAAGACATGACAAAATAATAATTTCTAAATTATCAAGGGTTCAAGAGGGAGGTGCGAGCAGGGAGGAGGGAGGAAAATGAGGAGCTGATGCCAGGGGCTTACGTGGAAAGCAAATGCTTTGAGAATGATGAGGGTAACGAATGTACAAATGTGCTTTATACAATTGATGCATGTATGGATTGTGATAAGAGTTGTATGGTCCCCCAATAAAATGACTAAAAAAAAAGAAAATGATGATGGCAACATATGTACAAATGTGCTTGACACAATGGATGGATGTATGGATTGTGATAAGAGCTATACAACCCCCAGTAAAATGATTGTTTAAAAAGAAGGGAAAAAAAGTCAGAGGTGTCCCCCTCCTTTGTAATCAAACATTCCTTCATCTTCCCAGACTTGTGGGAAGCCTGACCACTAGTATTAATCTCCCTTTGTGTATTTGTGCAGATTAAACTATTGAGAGCACACAGCATATTCTATCATCACCTGCTGTTTCCCTGAAATGGCGTCCAAATGATAAGATTGGAATATAAAATGTGACCTGGGCACTTGATCAAGGGGAAGGGACTGCCCAGAGCATCAGACAGGGTAAGCCACCTTTCCCATTGCCCCATCACCAGTCACACAGACGTCAGGCCATATGGTCTGAGCTCCCTAGTCTATTCATTGCTTGGGGAAAGCTGAGTATGTCTGAATTTATTACAGATGCTGAGCACCTGGACAATCACACTTTTCCTGCTGGGAGCAGCCAGTGGTAAGAGACAGCACCTCTGCCCCTTGGGGAGGCCTCAAACCCAAGATCTCAGCACCAACCAGAGAAAGACTTCCCTGGTTCTGGGGGACAGGGCAGTAGGGAACCGGCCCTTTGCCTTGGAGGATAGCTGGACTGCTTGAGGGAGACTTGCTGCCGAGCGTCTCCTGGTAGCGGTTTTCAAGTCCAGCTCATGTTTCCTACGCGCAATGTCCCTAACAACATGTCAGTGGGATGCGCTGTCACATTAATCAGTTGCCATCAACCAAGAGCAGCCCCATGCGTGTGCAAGTAGAACTGTGCTCCTAGACTGTGCTCCTAAACAGCGGTGGCCGCTGTTTCAGGACATCACCAGGTCTGTCTTCCACGGGCCTCAACTCTGCCACCTTTGGGTTAGTAATGGAGCATGGTAGCCACTTGTGCCTTCCATGGTCACGTGAGTCCTACATGTTTACCAGAAGATCTCAGGATGGAACACGAGACTGTTCCGTTCTGAGGAGAGGCATGTCAGCATGTCAGTGGGAGCCATGAGGCTGGACCCAGGCTAGCAGGTGGGGCGTATGAGAGGCAAAAACAGTGGCTGGGTTAGAGGAAACTACCCATGTCTTGCAACTGCCTCCCAGCAGGAGAGTGGCCAAGCCAGAACTCTCCCTGGCGGCTGGCCCTGGGAGCTGAACCTTAAGCATAACCATCCTCTCACTCCAGCCAAAGAAATCTGTTTCAATGACCTCGGGTGCTTTTCTGATTTGGAGCCTTGGGCCGGGACGGTGATCCGGCCCCTGAAAGTTCTCCCCTGGAGCCCTGAGAAGATCGGCACCCGCTTCCTGCTCTACACCAATGAAAACCCAAACAACTTTCAGGTGAGACCTCTTGTCATTTTCACGCTGTTGTAGCTGGGCGCTGGGCAGGGCCACTCACAGGTCATGAGGTCTTGAGGTTGAGAGCTTGTTTATCACTATTACCTCTTCTTCCTCCACTCCCTGCCCCGCTCATTCCTCCTTCCCTACCTCCACCCCCAGGCCCAGGCCGGCCTGGACAGAATCGGTCTTCAGGGAGTTAGCTGCTTGATGATCATCAGTCCTCAGTTGCCGGACTACAGTTGGCTAGATGCTCCTAGTCAGGGGTGGAGCTCTTACAGGCTAATAAGAATGATAGGGAAGGAAAGATCTGAGTTGCTCTCACTCAGGTGGTGAGCCGGACTGTAGCCCAGACTCAGTGGAGGCGGCCACCACTGACTTGGGGAATTGGGACAGCAAGGAGGTCAAGGTAGGCTTTGAAAGGTCTGGAGATCAGGACAGAAGGAAACGGGGCAGGGAAGACACCGGCCTGGCAACCGAGATAACATACCACTGTTGGGCGTTTGGCACAGACTCTCCTGCCCTCTGACTCATCAACGATTGAGGCGTCAAATTTCCGAACGGATCGGAAGACCCGGTTCATCATCCACGGTTTCATCGACAAGGGAGACGAGAACTGGGTGCTGGATATGTGCAAGGTACAATCCACCTCTCGCCCTGCCACCTGCCCGGGGATGCTGCTGCCACCCTGGCTGAACCCCCCCCCCCCCTTAAGCAACCCCAAGAACTGAACTCAGAGACAGGAACTCCACCGGGGCGCTGAAAGAGCCTTTACAGAGGAAGTCCATGCATGAAGCTAAAATGCCTCTGCTCACGCAAAAGTAGAAATCCCACGCCAGGTTTCTAGAATCTATCTGTTAACTGAAGCAGTGGCCTTTGCCACGTGACCAGACGCTCCCTCCCTCTCCTTTCTGGTTAAGTCAAGGCTAAGCCCCTGCTGCTTGGATGTTGGCCAGCTCTCATTGTGCTAACACCCTTTGTCTCCCAACCCCAGAACATGTTCCAGGTGGAGGAGGTGAACTGCATCTGCGTGGACTGGAAGAAGGGCTCCCAGACCAGCTACACACAGGCCGCCAACAATGTGCGGGTGGTGGGGGCCCAGGTGGCCCAGATGATCGGGATCCTCTCGGTGAGTGGCCGGGGCCACCCGCCGGGTAGAAACAGCACCTGCCGAGTGACAACGCGCCAACAGGGCATTTGTGACATTTCTCTACGTCTCTGAGAAGGGCCCTGAGATCGACATGCCCCTGGAAGCTCAGATAATGATACGAAGCATTAGGAGGTTGGGGGCTTTGGGGATCACCCTCGATTGATAGAGAAGTGAGGCCCAGAAAGATTGAGTTTTCTCCAAACCCAATTCACCGCCATCATGTGGATTCCAACACAGAGCCACCCTGTAGGCAGAGTAGGTTTCTGAGACTGTAACTCTTTATGGGCGTGAAAAACTCATCTTTCTCCCATGGTGTAGCTGGTGGTTTTAAACTGCTGACCTAGAGGTTAGCAGCCCCTTGTGTCTCACCAGGATGCCACAGCCTGTGTGGGAAGGCATAATTGGATCTGTAACCCCCTTGCTTATTGGACAATCCAGTCCTGTGCCAAATGGAGCCTAATTCCCTTGGCACATTGAGGAATGCCTTCTGCCACAAGCAGGTCAATTGCCTCTCTCTGGCCTGGTCTTGCAGCTAACTCGTTATGAAGATTTTATAAATCGGGTCAAGTTCCCAGCGTTAAAGGTTTTACAAGAGATCCAGCTGGTCTTAATGACTAGACCATCCCCCGACAATCATGAAAACCCATTGTGTTTGCACAGGGGTCACTGTAGAGCCCTGATATCTGAGGACACAAAATCACATCTGGCTTCTATGTGTGTCGATAAGTGACATGCATGAGGGGTGAGCACTTCTGAGGCCCCTGTAGACAAACAGCTCAGGACTTGGTGCTGTTTGTCTGTCCATCCAGGACTTCTAGAGTTCGGCGTCAAGAACTGAGCTAGGAGTGAGGAGGAGGATGGAGGTCCTAACCCTCAAAGAACGTACAGTGAAGACTTCTAAGACAAGCACAATGTGGTGGTGGGTTTGATGGGAGCAGTGCAGGGAGCTAGTAAGCACATGGGGGAAGGGAGGCAGCAAAACCAGACTGAAGTGTATGCGTGTATGGTGGGTGGGAATGGTGGTTACCCAGGTCTTCCTTGCTAGAGGAAGGGATGCCCAGGTTGAGAGTGAAACTTGGCTGTGTCCGTTTAGCTGAGCAAGTGGTTGCAGGAATGGGCAGCAATGGAATAGCCCAGAATGTGCCTTTTTGAGGGTGAGAAAGTCCAACAAAGAATGTGGCCAAAGGAGAGTCTAGGCCAGGGGTCGACAAACTTTTGAGATGGGAGAGCCAATCCTGTCCCTGACAACCATTGAGAAATTCATTGAGAGCCACGAATACATGTTTACAAACCAATACAATCACCATGATTTGAGTCATATATTCAGATTTCCGCTCTCCCCACCCAATTTTACTTCAGAGCCGTAGGCACGTACAAAAAGAGCTGAGTACAGCTCCTGAGCCAATTTTCGGAACCCTGGTCTGGACTGTAGGAGACTAGGCGGTAGGTGGAGAAGCCTCTGAGGTCCTCGAAATGGCTTTAGACTTGATCTTGGCAAGGGCAGGAACTTGGTGCAGCTGAAGAGGAACACCATCGCATCAGCCTGTCAAAACAACCATGCCAGAGTGCAGCACCCCAACAGCCTGAACATGCAATTCTCCCTTTCCAGACAGATTATAACTACTCCCCTTCCCAAGTCCACCTCATCGGCCACAGCCTGGGAGCCCATGCGGCTGGAGAGGCAGGCAGCAGAACTCCAGGCCTGGGCAGGATCACAGGTAAGGCCTGAGGGCTGGGACCCCCCCAAGTGGTGTTCTCGGAAACCCCAGAGGGCAGTGATAAAACAGCAGCCCAGCTACCCCAAAGGAGAATGCCCCCTGAGTTGTGGCAGATCTGGGTCGAGGCCACACGGAACACTTTAGGAAACCCATAAGAAGGCTGAGGTCTGACTTCACGTCAAGGGGGAAGGGGGTGGCTTTGTTCCCCTTTGACTTCTGCGGTCTCTCTCCTGGTCCCTCATCTCTAGACCACTCACCCGGAGTGAAAACACAGATACGGGCTAGGATAAACACAGGCCAACCCGAATCTGGGAAGAGCTATGTGGTTCCACGTCTTCTTTCCCCTTTGTCTTAGAATTCAAGGGCCTAGCAGAATGTGCCACTGGTTTCCCCTGCCTCTGCTGGTAGAAGGAACTCAGTCACCATCACAGCCAACAGCATTCTTTTAACCCAAATGAAGCCTTTAAAGATCACAAAATAACAAAGGCAAAATATATGTTCAAGTGGAAATGGAACTAAAAGATAATGGAACTTTTCCAAGGACTTTTCAAGCCCTCTCATATACGTAATACAGTAACAAGAACATTATTATAAACAAACACATGTACACACACAATAATAATAATATCAATAACTAACCAGCTGCTATCTCAGGCTGTAAATCTTTACAGGATTGTGATAGTCACCATATATTAAATGTTTGCTTATTCCAAGCCACATGCAAGTACCTTAGGTGCCTTTTCTCATTTAATCCTGAAAATTGAAGACATTGAGGCTCAGGGAAATGGGCAACTTGCCCAAGATCAGTCAGACAACTAATCACTGTTTGAATGGGAGCAAATCCTCGTCTTGATGGCTCGTGGCTCAAGCAGCTCCCTCTGCCTTCCTGAGAATGCTCCCTTTTGTCAGCTGTTTGGAGAAATCTTTAAAGAATGATTGGCAACCCCAGGATCCCTATTAGAAAGCAACTAGAGTCAAGAGAAAGTGCTAGTAATTCAAATGTTACTTATATACTTCCACGTTGGGCGCTAACTGCATGGTCAATAGTCAGAACCCAACTGCAAGAGAAAGATGAGGCGTTCTGCTCCCGTGAAGATTTACAGCTTTAGAAACCCCAAGAGTTCAGCAGACATCAGCTTCGATGGCAATGGGTGGCAGACACCATGCTAAATGCTGCATATATAAGCTCACCACATCTCATAACCACCATATAAATTAAGGGCTATTACCCCCACCCCCACTGCATGTAATAAATAGGGAAACCAAGGCACCAAAGGGTTGAACGACTCACCCAGGGTCATGCGCTTTCCAAAGCAGCAGCTGCGGCGGATGTGAGCCCAAGCAACCTGGGCCGAGTCAGTGCCCTTAATTGTGGTACTACACAGTCCCTCCCTCTTTCAGATTTGTGTGTGTGTGTGTGTGTGTGTGTTTCCAAATTTGAGATGAAAAGGAGAATTTTCTAGAAGAAAGATAATACATGTAAATAGGAAAGTCTCATGTGGGAAAAATCCTCACTCAAGGAAATCTAAATGTCTTTGTCCATCTCCCCTTACTTATAACGGGTATTGAGTATTAACACCAATGTCTCCATGTTCAATACCCAGGGCCCAGGCAGGACATACTTCCCAGGTCTGGTACCCCCTTGATTTGGGTAGCGCGTGGTCTGGGCAGCTGTATACCTTGGTCCTGCAGACACCTCCCGCCACACCTCTTGTTCTCTGCTGACCACCCTCTCTTTCAGGGCTGGATCCCGTAGAAGCCAGTTTCGAGGGCACTCCCGAAGAGGTCCGCCTGGATCCCTCCGATGCTGTCTTTGTGGACGTGATTCACACAGACGCAGCGCCCCTCATCCCATTCTTGGGTGAGCTTCCCACCCTGTTCCCTCCCTGTTCCCTTCCGCCAAGCGCACTGGCTGTGTGAGCCTGTGCGTTGGTGTTTCAACTCTAAGATGCTGCACTTCCACCTGTTTACTGTGCCCCCAAATGTTTCAGGTTTTGGCACGAAGCAGCAGTTGGGTCACATTGACTTCTTCCCCAATGGAGGCGAGGAGATGCCAGGATGCAAGAAGAATGCGCTCTCCCAGATCGTGGATCTGGATGGCATCTGGGAGGGTAAGGCCACATGGAAGGGTGTCCCCTCCGTGGATGGGCGGGGTTCTTCCCCCTGCTGACCTCGACCACCAATGTGACGCTTTCCCTAAAAACCTGCAACTCCCTCTGCTGGACTTAATTTCTGAAAAGGATAGATGCCTTCGTTATGTCTCAGTTGAACTGACATTGAGACTTCCGCAAAGTACTGGTTTGGGGGTTTGTGGACTGCCCGGTGAACAAAGAACTGCCAACCCCGTGCTTCCAGGTCTAGCTGTGGTCACCAACAGGTAGAAAACCACAGCGTGTTGCCCCTGAGTTGATACTGACTCGTGACGACCCGGGTGACTCAGAGTAGCGCTGCTTCATCAGGTTTCCTTTGGGAAGCAGATCCCCAGGCCTGTCTTCTGGTTGGGTGAGAAGCATCCACCTTTTCACTAGTAGTTGACCGCTGAACGGTCTGTACCAACATTTATTTTTTTTTAAATATGGTCACGCTGTGGCTGGAACAACCTCCCTGGAGAGAGTGGCAGAGAAGCAGTCACTGCCCCTTGCCCTCCGTGGCCTACTCTCTGATGTGTCTCCCCAGGAACCCGGGACTTCGTGGCTTGCAATCACTTAAGAAGCTACAAGTACTACTCAGAGAGCATCCTCAACCCCGACGGGTTTGCCGCTTACCCCTGTACTTCCTACCGGGCCTTTAAATCGGTAAGTCTTTTGCTTGCCTGGTCCCTGAGTGCTGCCTCTCTGTGAGGCCGCGGTCCTGCTGTGGTTGGAGTTTGCAGGGTCCTTGCATGCGTTTGCCTTGACCATCTCCTGCACGCTCGCTTATGCCCCCTCCGACCTGTGCTCATGCCCCCCAAGTCAATTCCAGCTCATCGCAACATGAGAGGACTGTAGAGCTTCCAAGTCTATAATCTTCACAGAAGCAGTCTACCACCTCTTTTCCTCCTCCCCCGGAGCGGCCGTTGGTTTTGAACTGCCAACCTTTCGATCAGCAATCAAACGCTTAACCACTGCACCACCAGGGCTCCTTGTCATGGTCTTGTAGAGTGAAGCGCAAACAACAAAAGCTTTAGGCAGCTGTACTGAAATTCCAGATGGGGCCGGTGGAAGGGAAAGGCTCTGGGCCATCAGAGAATGGAACCAGCAGATCAATAACCTAGGGAGACTTCCTGCAGGAGGCAGCATCTGAAAGGTAGAGAAGGAAAGGCAGGGGTGCACATTGCTGGCCAGTGCAGAGCAGGAGCAGGAAAAGAGGTGGCAGCTGTCAGAGAGCAGGGAAAAGGGAAAGTGGGTGCTGGCTTGGCATGCCAGCGTGGGAGTCTGCACCCTACCCGGAAGAAGTGATGTGCTTGTAGCGCTACACTGGGCCTCATTTCCCAAATCTATATTCGGTGACCTCATGGGGTATCCTGAAACTGGCCATGATCAGAAAATGCTTCCCTTGGGACTTTGCTCCCCAGAGAGCCAGTTAGACATTGACCAGTACATCAAGGGGGACACGATTGATCTAACCTGGGCCCCCCAACATCAGTAGGTTTCAAAGCTCCCAGATAATTCTAGTATGATGTGTCTCAAGGTTGGGCCCTGGCCCTGGATGAAGGTACTGTAGAGATCATTCCTTCCGATCCCTTCTGTTACAAAGGAGGAAACCCAGTCTTCTCGACCAGATGTCTCTGTCTTGAAAGACACACTCACTGCCCCACCCTGTCTCTTTTCATCAGAACAAGTGCTTCCCCTGCCCGGATGAAGGGTGCCCACAGATGGGTCACTATGCTGATAAGTTTGCCAGCAAGCTGAGTGGCGAGCCCCAGAAATTCTTCCTGAACACGGGAGAATCCAGCAAGTTTGCTCGTAAGTTGCTCTTTTATTTTCTCTCTCTCCCCCATGGAAAGAAACTAGCGTCTGCAGCAAATGGGGGTTTTCCTTTAACCCGAGACATCTGTTTGGATGAGCTTAGAAAACTCAAGCAACCCTCCCAACTCAGCATTCTAAACACTGTATCATCTTGGTGAGTGTACACACAGCCAAGCATTGTCATGCCGACGTCTTCACACACACAAGTACAGGCCCTCCCGTGTGTGCAAGCAGCACATATGTTCCCCACTTCATGCCACCAGAAGACAGTGCCCCTACCAAAAACCACCCCACTGCCAGTGAGTCGACTCCAACTCAGGGTAACCCAAAAGGTCAGAGTAGAACTGCCCCTGTGGGTGTCCACGGTTGTAAATAGTTACAGGTGTAGAAAGGCTCCTCTTCCCCGGCTGAGCATCTGGTGGTTTCGAACTACTGAACTCGTGGTTAGCAGCTCACCGTGTAACCCACGGCACCACCAGAAGCTCCCCCGGTGATGAGTTTCTGCGTCAAGACTTGAAACAGTCAAGGCTTGAAACGCTAAAGGAAAGAACACATCCATCCAAACGACCCCATGGAAGACAACTGGGGCTGTGGGGAGGCCCCAGTGCCTCCTTTGATGGCTACAGAGCTAGAGGAATAGAAGAAAATGGCTTCACCATTGGGGGGATGGCCATCCGTATGTCTCTGGCTTTTCTCTCCTGCACAGTTCCTTGTGGAGCCTGCACTTCCTTCAGACTGTCTCCCAAGCCCCTCTTCTTTCATTTGCTCAACGCGCTTTTTTCTCGGGTACCATTTCTTGGCCAGGATTGTCCCCCTCCCCCCACTTCACAATGCCCCATGGTTCCCTGACACTCAGGGGCTGCCCCTGGTGGACTGAGGGTAGAGACGGGAGTGGGACTGGGTTTGATATCTCTCCAATAGCTGTTGAATGAAGGAGGACCGAGAGTGGATGTGGAATGTTTTAGGGTCACTTTTGACCCACCTGTTTTGTGGAAGTGCAGACAGTTAATCATTCAACTGCTAACCAAAAGGCTGGGGCTTCAAATCCGCCCAGGGAGCACAGGTCTAGTCTGACACTAATGGGGTGGCTCAGGGACAATTGTGACTGGTCCTATAGTAGCGCCATAGATACTGCCCTGTGAAAACAGAGACTGTGTGTTCATGTGAATATTTACATATAACATCTGTCTCCTATGCTTCTGACAGCTGGGTTTATTGAAGCATAATAAATCACCCTGTGGGGAGTAGAGTTCTATGACTTCGGAGAAATGCATAGTTGTGTAACCACCACCGCAATCCAGACATAGAATATTTCCATTGATATCCATTTGTGCAGAGCCCTGGTGTGGGAGTGGCTATGCATTAGGCTGCTACCCACAAGGCCAGCAGTGCCAAAGCCCTCACCAGCCCTTCGGAATAAAGGCTGGACTTTGTACTCTCATAAAGAGTTACAGTCTCAGAAACACCCAGGGCCATTTCTGCCCTGCCTTACAGGATCGCTGAGAGTCCAAGGCGAGCCCCTGGCGGTGAGTTCATGTCTATGCAGTTGTTTCTTTTTAAAAGACACTTTTTAAGTCAACCCTTCCACTGAGGTAGTGCCGCGCATAATGCTTTGCCCGTGTTGGGACAACAATAAATTCAATAACATTCAAATTCACGTATCCATTCTCAATCTATAGTTACGTATGGGACACAGACTGTGCTAGACACTGTGGGTGCAGAGATGAGCAATACAGCACTCATAAATGCACAGCCCAGCAGAGAAGACGGGCGGAGCAAGGAACTCTAGGTGTGTTGAGCTTGGCCACCGGCAGGCTGCTGCTGTGGCATTGTGAAGTAGGAACTTGGCTCTAAGTAGACAGGGACAATGTCTCTGAGGGTGTGTGTGTGTGTGTGTGTGTATAGACTTCAAAAACTTTGTGGAAAAATTCCATTATCTTTTCATCCCATTTCCCCACAAACTTTTGGAAGCTCCTTTGTATGAGTGTGTTTGTGTATATGTGCGGGTTTGTGTGCGGATGTGAACGGGTGTGTGAATCTAGGTAGGTGTGTACTATTCCTTTCAATACACAGGTGTTGAACTTCTGTCAATGATGAGCTGAGTGGGGTGCAGGTGTCCTGTGTGAGTATGTGTAGTTAAGTTTGCCTGTGTCTATATATGTATATGTGTGCAGGGCGACGGGAGTAGAACTCCGGGTTTAGATCTGGGTGAGGCTGCCGAGGGCCCTGGAGTGTGATAAGTCAGGCTAAGACACAAGTCTTGCCCGGAGGTGTTCACAAGATGCTCTCTGGGCTACATTAACCAGTGTGGAGACATGCCATTGTTCCATCTCGTTCCACTTTAACCTCTTAGTGATGACATTCCAGAGCAGACCTGTCCAATAGAAATGTCTTCAATGATGGATGAGTTCCGTGCTGCCCGATACAATGGCCACTCACCACAGGTGGCAGCCTGGTACTTGGAATGTGGCTGGCCACGAAGGAGCTGAATTTTCACTTTGATTGGACTTAAAGATAACTTTTTTGTGACTGAGTTACTTTCTGCCTTGCATTCTTTGTGTGCACCATGTGTTTTCAGACATGGAAGGCATGCTGGAGCCAGTGGGGTGGGTGGAGTGGGTTCTTTGAGATGATATGGATTTTGATACAATTGTGGGGGGAGACAAAGCAGGGGGACTCTAAAACGTCATGAAAAATGCCATGATCTCTTCATTACATTTTCCACGAAGAACATTGTTGACCCGCCCTCAGGTGTCCCAAGAAGACTCTGGTGGTAGGAGTCTTCTTGGGTGAAGCCCATTTCTTCCACTTCCATTATAGGGTCCCCACCAGGCTCGACCATACGAACAACTGTGGGCACTGGACAGTGCTTCGTCCTGTGGCACACAGGGTTGCTATGAGTCAGAGTTGACACGACAGTACCTGACAACAATACCGGGTGGAACATACATTACCACTGGGGTGGCAGCTTCCCAAGAAACCTGAGAAGCTGAAAATGTTGGTGGGTGATATATGTCCCATGGGGTCACAAAAGGATTACATAACCACTCGGTAGCACAGTTCTAGAGGAGGAGCCTGCTGCTACAGTTCAAACCAAAATAGCCTTCCAATTATCAGTCAAGTGCTTAACTTCTGCACAACCAGGGCTCCTGAGAGGAAGACCATCACAAGTTGGTATTTTCCCTTAAGCCCTGAGCTGTAGACGGACAAGTAGAAGTGCTTCTATTTTGATGCTTCCATCTAAGGCGAGGGACGGGAATCTGAGATTTGGGGCCCCTCTCTGGAGTGGGAATAAATTGAGCCCCTTTCAATCGTTTGTGCAGGCTGGAGATACGGAGTCTCTGTAACTCTGTCCGGAAGAACCATCACCGGCCAGATAAAAGTTGCTCTGTTTGGAGACCAGGGGAACACTCGCCAGTACGACATCTTCAGGTAAATGGCCTCTGTCCAGGTGGCGCGCTCAGGTGATGAGGTGGGAAGCTTGCGAGGAGCAAATCTCAGCCTGTAGCTTAAACCCTTATTATTTATTTATATGTCCATGGATCTTAAATTCTTTACGTTAGGTGCTGACACCAAGTTCAGACATTCACTCATATTTTCAACCTCAATTATAATCTCACGCATTCAATTCTTTCTCAACTGATCAGCTTGAAAATATACGTATCTAGTATTACTGCAGAGAGTGTTTCTGATAAGTAAGGTAATACATGCTTGTTGGGTTAAACGAAGAGACCCTATTTTTACCGTGAGTAATCTGTCCCAAATAAAATAAAGAGATTATATATTTTTCTATGTAAAGCATTAAGGAGAAATGAACATGTGTTTGAAGAACTATGTAGACCAGTGGTTCTCAACCTGTGGGTCGTGACCCTTTTAGGGGTTGAACGGCCCTTTCACAGGGTTCGCCGGATTCATAACAGTAACAAAATTACATTTATGAAGTAGCAATGAAAGTAATGTTATGGTTGGGGGGGGCCAGCACAGCAGGAGGGACTGTATTAAAGGGTGGTGGCACTTGGAAGGTTGAGAACCGCCGGTGCAGAGAATAGTTTGAGGCTGCCGGCACATAGCTAGCTGACCTTCCCATTTCTCTGTTCTTTATTGGGAAATTAAGTTGGAAAAAATGATGTTGTTCATCTAGAGTAGAAAAGAAGGGCGTGGCCTTTTATGGTCATGTGACCTTGTTTCTATAACCGGAAATGTTTCTCTCTCTCTATTCAAGAGGGCTTATCATGGCAGGCTCCACCCACTCCAATGAGTTTGACGCAGAGCTTGACATCGGGACAATTGAGAAAGTCAAGTTTCTCTGGAATAACAATGTGATCAACCCCACCTTCCCCAGAGTGGGGGCAGCCCAGATCACCGTGCAAAAGGGAGAGGAGAAGACAGTGTATGTATCTTTGCTGGCTTGGGTCTAAGGATGTTGATGGGCTCGTGCTTGTCGTGAAAACTCATCCCCTGAAAATCAGTTAGAGGTAAAGCCCCAAACCAAGTAAACCTTCCCTCCCCAGGCAAGCAAATTGCTGGCAGAATGTGGCAAAGGTTTCTGGCAGGTGCACTTCACTGGTCCTCAGTGCAGTCTGTGGGGGATTTAGAGATCTTACCCAACCCTGAAGGTAAACCAAGGTAGAGATCTATACTGGACATCATGGCTGAAGGGGCAAACAAATTGCCATTAAGTCCATTCTAACTCCTACAGGGTCAGTTTTTCCCTCTAGGACATGGTAGCACTGCCCCTGTGGGTTTCCCAGACTGTAACTCTTTATGGGAGTAGAAAGCCTGGTCTTTCTTCCACTGAAAGGCTGGTGGTTTCGAATCAATGACCTTGAGGTTAGCAATTCAACACCTAATCATTATGCCACCAGGGCTTCTAGCTGAACGGTACAAGGTTAGAAGTATGGGGCTAGTTGGAAGAAGGAAAGACAAGAGAAATGTTCAGATAATAGAAGGAGAAAGAAATCCATTTGAGTGAATTATATCAATATGAGGCAAGGAAAAAGCATGACAGTACTTGAAGGGTCCTATCCCCTGGGGCCCTTGCCCCACTGTGTGCCACTGAGGGGCAAAAGAAAGAAGTTGGATGGAGAAGTTAGACCTGGGAGGGGCAGAGCACTGTCTCCCTAAGTGTGAACTCTCACCTGCAGAACATTCTTCTTCTTTTAAAAACATCACTTTATAGAGGGCGCTTACAAATATTATAGCAATCCATATTTCAGTTAGATCAAGCATTAATTGTACAATCGCTGCCGCCATCTTGCAGAACACTCTTGAGGAGGGCTTCTTGGAAGAGCAGTCTGAGCTGTTAGACACTGTGGCCTCAGGGCTTGAAGGTTGGGTTGGGCCAGAGCTACACAGAGCTCAGACGCAGGGAATGTTGCTCCCCAGACAGGAAGGGTGGATGACATAGTGGTGCTTGGGCAGAATGCACAGCTTCCTCCCATCAGTCTGCATGACCGCTTCTAAATCCTCTCTGTCCAAATCAGACAGCAAAGAGTCCGGCTCAGTCAACTGGTCAGTAGACAATGTGGGGCCCTCAATTAAAGTGCACCAAGGCCAGGTCAGATCAGTCCAGAGTCCTGTGTCCTGTGTCGGACACATGTCCAACAGCATTATTCTATGGCCCCAATGGAGGAGCAAACCCAAAATAGACCCAGTTGTGCTCAAGTCGAGTCCAGCCCCTGATGACCCTATGAGTCATGGGCCAGCATCGAACTGTGTCCCACAGGGTTTTCTCAGCTGTACTCAATGGAAGCAGATCGCTACCTGGTCTTGTGGTGGTTGTCTTCCCCACAGTGCTGGTTAGGATTGAAACTCCCAAACTTTAGGTTAATTAAAAAAAAAACCCACCTCAAAACTAAACTCATTGCCATCCGGTCAGAGCTGACTCTTACCGACCCCTTGTGGCTTTTTGAGGCTGTAACTGTTCACAGAAGTAGAAAGCCCAATCTTTCTTGCTTGGAGCGGCTGGTGGTTTCAAACTGCCAGCCATGCAGATCACAGCCTAATGTGTAACCCCTACTCCATCAGGGCTCTGAGTGTAACCCATTTGCTCCACTCATAGACCTCAGGGGTTGTTGACACTCTTGTCTAAAGTCAGTTCCCAGGGTCTTGCCAGGAAGTGGCCCTGAGGACTGGCTCCTAGGGGCTGTGGGCTTACAAACATGCCAGGAGAAAATGGTTCCCAGGGGGTGGCTTCCTCACAGGGAAATGTGAAGAAGAACCTTCCCTAAGGGCTTTCACGAAAGATCCAACTCTTAAAAGACACCCCCTTCTCTCCACAGGCACACCTTCTGCAGTGAAGAGACGGTGAGGGAAGATGTGCTGCTGACTCTCCTGCCCTGTTAAACTCCAGGCCCCGTGCGCTCCCTGAGCTAACATCAATAAATTCCATCGGTGTATCAATCTACTCACAAAGTCTGTTGGTGATGTCAAACGCTGCCCACGGGGGTATTCAGACATCTAAAAATGTCATAAGCAATTCCACATGCTTTGGTTTCTTGCCATTGATTTCTCACCAAACACCTTTGGGTCCTCAATGTTCTGGGTCATTCAGCCTCATTCGCCCTGGGCCAGGGAGGACTGGAAGCCCACTCTCCACCATCCACAGGGCAGTGGCCAGGCACTGGCGTGAGAAACAAGGAGTGGTTTCCGAGAGGAGCATGCCCACACAGTGTTGTGGCCTGCTTTACAAAGTTTATTCCAGCCAATCAGCCAGGGCAGCTGGGTGTCTCAACCAGCCAGCCCTCAGACAGACTCTAAAGGGGGCATTCTCCACACACTGAGTGCAGCCCACACAGACCTGGAGGAGACAGGGGTCCAGCCCAGATAGACTCTGAGGTCACAGGGTTCTCCTCACTGTGAGCCCAACACACACAGTCTAAAAAGAAGGTAGTCCAGCCTACTCTATTATTATCCCCCTAGGACGTTAAGCGACCCAGAAATCACCACCTCCTGCAATATCCCTTCTCCTGGTCACCTCATATGTCACTCTGGCTTCTGTTTCTAAGCAGTGGTGACATGCCACACTGTGGCTGAGTCTTCCCGCTTGAGGGTGGGGTACACCTCACATTGTTCCCAGAAGGCAGCTGTGAGGATGACATAAGCCACTGTAGTGAAGCTCTCCACATGCTGTGTCCATGATGAAGGTGAGAAAGATGATGTTGACAGCAGGGGACACCAAGGTCCTTAGGTGGGAGAGACCAAGCAGGGGAGAAGGGAGCTCAGAGCAGAGGCTGAAGTTGTCAAGTGGCAGGATTTTGCCTATCCCTGGCTTGGAACCTACAGCTGGTGGAAGGCAGAACCTACTGGCCAAAGAGCTCAATGCAATGTTGAGTCAAAAAAACACATCAAGCACCAGCTTTGTACCAATCCCTAGGCTGAGAGCAGGGAAAATGACAGCAACTCTGCCCCCTCAAGGAGTGCACATAGTAAGCAGACCAGCACTTCCATAAACCCTCTCGTACTGCCCGATGGTCGCAAAAATCAAGGTTTGTCCTGAGAGCCCAGAAGAGAGAAGAAGCAGGTCACAAAAGCTGCACCGAGGCCTTGGTTCAAGACAAAACTGGCAGGCAAGAGTCCTCATGAGACTGGAGGCTGAGAGGCCAGCCAGGAGAAGGGATCCCTTGTGGGGAGCCAGGCTAGTGGTGACAAGGACAATGCGATGACAGTGAGCAAGGTCAAAACATCATGAAGTGGTATGGCAGGTTGGCCACGGATGAGTGTCCATCTCCCTGGTCCAGGGCAGCCTGTGTTGTGCCCTGCTCCTCAGACAAGTTTCAAGTGGGGAAATCTGAGAAAAGCATATAGCCAAGGAGTGAGGATTCTAG